AAAAAAACCTAGGTTGCCCGCAATTCCCGTCCAGATGAAGTTTATCTATCGGTAGGACAAGAGGATGAAAATAAAGCAGCATTGTGTATGTTGTATTTCATAAAATAAATGTAAAACAAGAGGTTCTCGGATTACAACTCCCAGAAATCCTGGCCAGCATGGCTTGTGATGAAGGCTTCTGGGTGTTTCAGTCCAAGAACCTCTGGGGACCCAGTTCTAGAGTGAAACTGAGAAGAGGGTGCTTTGGCATCAGGGAAGGTAAAAAGAGAAGAGAGGTTCTCACAACTCCCAGAAATCCTGGCCAGCATGGCTTGTGATGAAGGCTTCTGGGTGTTTCAGTCCAAGAACCTCTGGGGACCCAGTTCTAGAGTGAAACTGAGAAGAGGGTGCTGTGCTTTCAGGGAAGGTAAAAAGAGAAGCGCCAGGCGTCAGGTTGTGAAATCTGAAGACATTTAGAGGCAGTTTTCTGGATCTGGGCAAGTCTGGATGTCTGCTTCGTTGCTGACTTTGCAGATGGTCTTCCTAGCCCTGCTTAAAGACATCTGTATTTCTGGCCTCAGAAAGATCAGGGGGCCTTTCGTTCCTTCCTGGCTCCTTGGGAAAGGCTGCAGTTTCTGCCTGTCTTGGTGCTCAGCTTGTGTTTCAGACTCTCGATGTGCCTGGTGGTGGGATCAGGGCCAAAAACATTTCTGACAAACATTTCCGACCTTTGCCCAGGCGTTTCCTCACCGAGAGAGCTTCAGGCTCAGGTTTTTCAGAATTGCGGCCTTGCTAATACGCACCAGGATTTCCAGATGCACCAAAGTGGCTCACAACATTAAAATTCACACAATTTAAAAACACATATGATTTAAAATACAATTAAAAGAGTAAAACATGAAAACATAAAAAAATAAACATTCTGCTAAAATGTGATTCAGGGACTCAGTTGTAATTGTTAAAAGCCTGTCTGAACAGATGGATCTCTATCTTTTTTCGGGAGGATAACAGGGAAGGGGCCATCTCATCTCCCGAGGGAGGGCGTTCCATAGCCTGGGAGCTGCCACCGAGAAGGCCCTCTCCCGTGTCATCATCAGCTGTGTTTGTGCTGGCAAAGGGACTGAGAGGAGGGTCTCTTCTGCTGATTTTAATCATGGAGAAGGATGTTAAACCACATGAGGGACAAGACAGGACCTTGAGGGATGGCACGGGCCATTAGCCGAGGTGTTCAATAACAGTCCCCAAGCAAATAAATAAACAAATACAGTATCCTTTTTTAAAATAAAAGAAGCTGGTTATATTACAAAGCTTGAAGGATGCTCTGCCAGTGCCTCTGATCCAGCTCAGTAACATCTTTTTAAAAAACTGATAAACCAGTTTTAAAATGTAACTTTAGGGACCTGCCTTAAACGTGGCAGAGAACATCGCAGGTTGACTTCCTAACTTGATGAGAAAACCCTTTCTTTTTTCCGGGGGTGAAGTATTTGGGGAGTGCCCTGTGTTGTGATTAGCACTGAGTGAGGCTCATCCTGAGTGAGTTTCTCGGGTTCATCCCTGAGCAATCTGGCTGAGAAATATTGAGTTTTCTTTGAAGGATGTGACCTTCCCAGCCACTCAGCCTCTCAGTGCTGCTGTTTATGAGCAGGAGGGAGCCATTTTGTGTCCTTCTCTCTCGCCTGACAGGACCTCCACTTCGCCATGAAACTGAGGGGGATTTGAACCCAGATCTGTTGCATCTAAACACTGTATTCTGGATGTTGCTAAGTGCACCCAAATTCTCTTTTCCATCTTGGGTTTCTTTCCCAAGAGGGCTTTTGCCCCATTCTCAGGATTTCAATTTCTACCACAGAAATACATATCTGTATCAATCTGCAAACTTCTTCTGTGAGACCCAGAGTGGAGGCTGGACAGTATTCTTTCTTATAATTTTTTTAAAAAATTTATTTTTTAAAATTGTACATATCTACCCACAGCAACGCCTATTGGGTCCCTCAGCCCTGCACAGAGGAGGCTGGCCCTGTTCCAGAACCAGGAACAAGCTTCACACCCCACAGGGAACAAGGCCGGCCGAAGCTCTTCTGGGTGTTTCCTTTGGCTCCTTTCTTGTGTCCCAGAGAAACCTCAATCTGCATAATGGGAGAAGAAGGCCCCTCCCCATTCCTGACATTGGGGGGCATGAGGACAGGGTCAGGACACCCCGGAAACTGCCATGTGTGGCCTCATGGACATTTCCCCCCTTCCCAGTGAAAAAAACCAAAATGACAAAAATACTCATTTTTATATACTTTTTAAACTAAGGACAAACAATCTGTGCTTGTATTTTACTTTTAATAAGGAAGAAGAGTTTGCTAAATTTGGTTGTCAATCATGTTCCTGAATTTCAAGGTAGGCAAACAGGATGTGGACAAGAGAAAGAAAGAGCTTTTTCTTTAGGCTAAATCCCTTCCATCCATGAGTTTCCCACGGGCCACTAATACTAACTCTATTTTTCTATGATTCTCCCTGCCCCAGGATAAATGACCTCAGGTGGCTTCCAGGAAATCATAGATGAATGGCTGGATGGCTCTTCTCCAGCGCTCCTTTCTGCTGCAGGCTTTCCTCACTGCCCAGTGTTCACATCCACACTCAGGAACTGAGAATACAAGCATCCGGAGGATTTTGGCCTTCATCTCCAGTAACATGTCCTCACACTTGGGGCTCTTTTCTAGTTCCTTTACAGCTGCCCTTCTGAGTCTCTGGCTTCTTTTGATTTCTGGGTTGTAGTGTGCAATATTTATTTATCGTTTATTGTTTTATTCATAAGCCACTTTTCTCCCTAAGGCGGTTCACAACATTTAAAATCACACAATAACAATTTAAAAATTCTGTAGAAAACTATAAACATTGGTCAAGATTTAAGAACCATTTTGAAGACATTTTTAAAAACCTTTAAAATATCTAATGATGACTGTTCTGAGATATACAAAATATCTGAATATTAATTATTGAAAGGAATTAAATAAAAGCTGGTCAAAACAAATTTTAAAACACATTTAAAAAGGCAGAAGGATAATTTCCCCCTTAAAACCTTTTCCTCAGCAGCGGTTCATATATTACTAGCCCATCTGAACAGTATTAGCATCTCAGTGGGGATGGAAACCCATGTTCTGCCCCTCCAAAGAGAAAATATTTTTCATTTTGTGCCCCCCCACCTCAAAATTAAACAGAAGAAAGTATTAACGTCTTTTTAAATGAAGGCAAGGAGACCCTTTTCCCTTCCTCTTTCTTCTCAATGTTTCTGTGTACCCCCCAGTATTAAGCAGCATCTAACAAATTCAGAAAGCATTTTTTCTGATGTGCCATCAAGTCATTTTTAACTCATCGTGAACTTTTTTGAAGTTGTTCAGGAAGAGAGTATTCAGAAGTAGTTTCCCCTTCCGTTCCTCTGGAGGGGTGCCCTGGGACTGTGCAGCTTGCCCAAGGCCACACAGGCTGCCTCTCCTTGCAGGAGGCACAGTGGAGAATTGAATCCCCAGCCTCTGAAGTTGGATAGCTAACTTGCTGAGCTATCCAGCCAGGCAGCAGAAGGCACTGAAGTCCATTTAAAGGACCACTTTCCCTTTTCCCCTTCTTCTCGGTTGGTTTCCTCCCTGCCGAGCAGGCCTCTCCCACATCAGAAGGTGTATAAATGTTTCCAGCCAGGGAAAGAGGTGCTCGTGAGAGTGAGGAAGTGTCTTGGGAAGGACTGCTTCTGAACTCGACTGAAATAAGGTTCAAGTGATGGAGGACTCAGTGAATGCTGCTTTACAAGGGTCCTCCCTGTTGCTGGTGCCCTGCAGAGAGAGAGAGAGAGAAAGTCAGAATATCAGAACTGGAAGGGGGTCCCCAGAGAATCTCCTGTGTAGTCAGAGGAGTCTTCTAAAACCTCCACCTCAAGAGCTGTTCTGTCTCTGCTCTGCATAAACACCACCAGGGAAGGAAATTTCCCAGGCTAGGACAGCTGTCAAGGAAGTGAACTTTGTACTGATGGGTCTTCCATGTAACCCCATCTCTCCTGGCGCTTCCCTCTGGAGCACAGAAGTACATTTAATTCATCACCTGGTGTGAGAAAGAGATGAAGGAAAGAGAGATACTGGAGAGTGTGCCGTCCCCTTCTCCAGATATAACCACATACGCAGAGTCAAAGGATGAGGGAAAGAAATCAGAGGATAAGGAAAAAGAGAAGGAGGAGAAAGACAAAGGAACAAAGGGAACCAAAGAGGAAGCAGAGGTTTGCTTAGTAGAAGAGATAGAGGAAGGAAAAGGGGTAGAAGTAGAGTTGTCAATCAGGGAGGAGGAAGAGTCAGGAGAGAAAGAAGAGCAGTTAGATGGAAAAAGGGAAGAGAGAGAAGGTGAAAGAAAAGGAGAGGAAAGATGAGTTAGAAGAATCTAAGCGGATGAAAAAACTGTTAGAGGATTTTCCTAATTTAAGAACAGGAGGATTGCTTCGAATGCCGGAGAAATTTCAAATAAAGAATATACCAAAACCTGTAGAATGGACTGTAATGGGGGGTCCAAAGTAATGTATGAGCGATGGAAGAAAATAGCCAAACCGGATTCCTACTTCAATCAACCTCTTCGGGAGGACGAAGGGGTGACGCACCCTTGTTGTGGGACTGTATGTGCCATGAGAAGCAATCATATCCGCAAGTTGAAGGGTCAAGCGAGGTTTGGCCCCGCTCCCTTTTGAATTGTGAAGAAAAGAATGTGAGACTGTTGTCTGACAGTTATTAGGAGAAGAAGGTTGGACCGTTTTCCGTTAGTTATGAACCGTTAAAGAATTTAAACTTGTTAGAACCAGTGGAAGTGGTTATAAATCCATTTGAAATTGTTAACAATAAAAATGTTGATTTTTTCCCCAGAAAATAGATCTCTTATTTTTGCCTCAGAAGGGGAACTGGCTCTCTAAACGTGTCAAACGCAATCATACCTGGTCTCATGGATCTATCCCTGTGGTGACTCAAAGAAACAGAAATCATCAAAAACAAAATTATAAACAGATTTCCTACATGTAGGATTTGGGATGGTCCAGTTATAGTTTCTTCGAATGATGGGAGAGAAGTTGAGAGTCTCAAACATCAAAGGCTAGTCTTCAAAGGGGAGAGACAACCCCCTTTAAATTAGGGGGAATATAATAATTATAATCCAATACCATCAAGTAAGTTCTGACTTCCGGTTCTGCAGAAAATTACCTAAACCACTCAGTATTATAATCGACATGGCATTAGAAGCCTATTTTCCAAAAATATATATATATTTATGTGTAGATGAAAATTTAAGCAAGAGAATGACCAGACTAGATGGCGCTCAGCTGCCTTCCAGTCCAGGAGAATTGAGCTTTGGGGATCTAGATGTCATGGATTCATCCTCAAAGATTTAAGCCCCAGAAATGGCTTCTGAAATTCAAAGGGTAGGATAATGTGTTCAGGGTTGAAATTACAGTGGTGCCCCGCATGACGACGATAATCCGTTCCAGGAAAATCGCTGTTAAGTGAAATCATTGTCATGCGAAAAGCCTTTCCCGATTGGAATGCATTGAAACCTGGTTTAATGCGTTCCAATGGGGAAATTACCTCGTCGTCCAGCGAAGATCCTCCATAGGAAAGCCATTATGAGAGCGCTGATCAGCTGTTAAAATGGCTGTCCTGCGAAGTATGGGTCTGGAAAACGCAGGGCAGCCATTTTAGGAACCTGATGATCAGCTGTAAAGATTGTCGTCTTGCGAACAAACGGTTCGCGAAGCAAGGACCTAATCGATGTCCAGTGAAAAAAAACCATAGGAAACATAATTTTGCAATTGCTATACTGACTGCAAAAAAGTCACCATCCTGCGGATTCATCGTACAGCGGGGTTGTTGTCATGTGAAGTACCACTGTACACTCTTGATGTCCTATCCGCTGCTTGATCTTTAAGGACAGCGATCTTCATGAGCATTCCTGACAGAACAACATACACCACCCAAGAAGTGTGTTCTGGGCATACTCACTGCGAAAGAAGACAATCCCAGCAGCCATCAGGAGGAGAGCAGCCAGGACCCCGAAGATGATTCCCACAGTGGGCCACACAGGAGCTAAAACAAAATGAGGCACAGACGTGGCTATTCAAGGAAAGTGGCACCAGGAGGTCCAGAGAGCTTCAAAGGGAGGTGGTGCTCGACTGACCAAACAAACCTTTCAAATGTGAAAAAGGAGCTTCGTCGATGGGCCAAATCCCTCCCTGCCCTCGGCCTGATTCAATCAATACAAGGTCAAACACAGCAGGCTCTCCGGGGAGAACCGAAAACCTTTCACCAATCAAGGCATATTGTTTGAACCAAGAGTTCATCAAGGCATCAGAGCCCTGACTAAGAGCCATGGAGGGCTCCCAACCTCCCTGAAGAGATCTCACTCCTTCCACACTATCCACAGAAGAGCACTGTGAAGGACAGGAGGCTAGTGTGCCATTCTCAAACAAAAATGTACAGGAGGAGATGTTTGGATGTGTAGAAGGAGTGCTTATAGAGATAGAGGAGGAAGGAGTGAGTGAAGAAGAAGATGTTAGAAGTATGTCTGGCGGAAGACTAGAAGGAGGGTAGAGGGGAGGAGCAAGAGTCGATAGTGTGGGAGGAGGTTATAAAAGAGTGGGGTGATGCGCGGGAGTTTAGAGTGGAAACAGACCAGATGCAGAGACGTACTAGGGATCGTGCGGTTCAAACAGAGGGGAGTAAAGCTACTTCTAATAAGTGTGATTTGTCAAAAGATTTTCCAAACCTGACTGGTGGAGGATTGCTCCCGGATTCAGGCATACTGAGGCAGGAGGGCAAGGGGGCTAGACCTGTAGAATGGACGGTGGTGGTCTACCCCCACAACCAAGGTGGAGGGAGGAAGTTGATTTGTCCCAGGCCCTCTTTCAACAATCCACCTCTCAAAGGGGACTGGGCGAGACACCCCTGTTGCGGGACAGTATGCGCGGTAAGGAGTACCCCCTTAAGGGTGGTAATGGATCACAAGCACTTTGGTCCAGCCCCAATGTGAGGAGTGACCTGTTCACGCCAGAAACGAAGGTCTTGAGTTACAAGACTCTACCTGAATTGAGTTGTTTTGATCCACTTGATCTAGTTGAACCCAAAGTTCATGTAAATAAAGTTGAACCTGTTGGAGTTTTAAAACCACCTCCATCTCTTATTCCAGCCAAAATGAGGGGACTGTCACCAGCTTTTGAAGAACCTGATCACAAGCATGTGTCTGTTTTTTTCCTTTTGTCCAGAACATGCTATAGCCCCCTAGAGTGTTTTTGCAAAGGATGGTGCTCCTTTTTAGACCCGTCCCGTGCGAAAATTCCTCTCCCACCCCACGGCCATCCCTCCCCTGCAGCTGCTCACCACCAGGCGCTTCCCAGGCCAAGACAAGAGGCTCCATCAGGCCAGCGTGATCGATGTGGCATTGGTACAGGTCTCTGTCTCCGGTGTTGATCTCGATGCTGAGCCAGGCGTGGTAGGTCCCATCGGAGTTGGGAGCGACGTTCCTCCGGAAGGTGTCCTGCTCCATGATCTCCCCGCCCTTCCTCCAGGTGGCATCGATCTCCTTGGGGAAGAAGCCGTGGGCCTGGCAGACCAGCATCTCCCTCTCTTTGGAGACGAACGTGCGGGTCACCTTCCCTACTGGGGCCTCTGCAAAAATGGCAAAATGAGCACCAATGGAGGCACCCAAACCTCTCTTAACGGTGTGACTAGACACCGAATTTATTCACTGGACTGGGCTAAACATGGTCTGAGATGAAAAACGATCCTTGTATCCACACGCAAGGATGATGTGGTTTGGGGACAGGAAGCCACACTGCACTTCAAAGCAACCCTATTAAGCCCTTTACTTCCAGCCTGTTCCCAAAGTTGCCCAAAATGTGAGATACAGTAACGTGCAGTTTCACCACACCTGAAGTTTCTGGCAGGGAGGGATGGTGTCTCTGGGGAGCAGGAAGGGATCTTCTGGTGATCACCCATCCCCACTCAACCACCCCGTTCTGGAACTGAATAGCATAGATGTAGATTCTCCACGGTCCCTTGGGAACCCTCACATTAGGTGTAAAGGGAGGATGTCTCCATTTGCAACCAAAGAGCCTCGCGGCTTCTGGCAGAGGAGCCCCCGGCCCCTTGGATGAACTGACTCTGATCCAGTGTACAGTCAGATCTGAGAAGGGGCTCTGAAAGGCTCCTGCCTCAAAAGGAAGAGGCTGCAGCTGAAGCTCCTTTCTATCTGAGAATCCTTTCATTCTTTGACAAATCTTAGGATTAAAGCCTGTAGCCTCATCAAACAAAAACAAAAAACCCTCCTCACGCTGTTGGGTTCAAGGGACGGGTCCCCTGACGGCCAGCTCACCCAGAGTGAAACCATGCAGTGCAATACTTATCTGGAAAAGCACTGAAGGAAAATTTTGAAAAAATAAAAAGAATCAAATTAGAGACAGTAGAAAGAAAGGGAATGTTGGCAGCATAGACCACAATGCAAAACTCAGGAGAAGATGCCACAGAAAACGTCACCCCAGGAAACACCCAGCAGGGCTGCTCTGCATTGATCCTTGTGATTATTTGGGCCAGAAACAGAAATCAATCCATCAATCTATCGTCTATCTTTTTAATGGCACCCCCTACAGAACAAACACTCTCTGGGAGGTGCAGATGACTGCATTGCATCCCCCCAACTACAGTCCAAAGCAGGGAATAAATGGCAGCCGGACTCCTTTTGGGCAAATCATAAGCCAAGGGGCTGTTCAGGTCACAGGTGGGAGCAAGCGGGAGAGACGGGGAGGCAGAGAAGATGGCCCCGGTTCCCCAGAAGGAGACCTACTTGTTCCTCCATCCCATCCCTCACCTCTCCTCAGCAGCCTCTCCTTCCCGTAGTTCAGGAATCTCTGCAGCTCCTCAAGGCATTTCCCCTCCAGGTAGGCCTTCAGTGTCTGGGCAAAGGCAGGAGTCTTCTCCCACTTCTCTTTGGTGATCTGGGCCTTGGGATCGGCTGCCGTCCAGGTGAGGGTCTCCTTGTCGAGGGCGAGGTGGTCTCTCCCATCATAGGCGTCCTGCATGTGCCCTCTTTTGCTCCCGTCCTCCCTCAGCTCACAGCCGTACATCCACTGCAGGGAGTGAAATCCTGAAAGGGACCCACATTGGGGTGTGAGAGGAAGACAGAGGAGAAGGGCAGTCCCTGCCACTGCCACCCTCAGCCCCACTTGCCAAGCCCCACAGCAGAACCCAAAGAAAAGGGAGGATTTGCCTCAGGAGAGGCCAAACCAATGAGAGATTCTCCACTATGGGCGGCCCCTCAGGAGAAGAAAGGGACCCAATTTGGGGATCTCCTTCTTTCCCTTCTGGGAGCAGTGCCTGCTTTTCAAGAAAATGAAACCCCAAGATATACCCCACAAAAGGGCAGAAGGGGTGCCCCTAAATAGCGGGGCAGCCCCCCTCCCCTGCCACCTCTGGACCCCCAGAAATGAGGCTGCCCTCACAAACACACACCAACACCCACACCTGCCTCTTCTCTGCCGGACCTTCTTCCCCACTTCCACTCGGCCCCCCTGGAAAGATGGAGCCGACTCTCCCTCCAGCGCTTGTGGGTCAGAAAGGCTGCCACAGACAGCCCCTCCCCAGCTGCCCCCAAAAGGCCTTCGGGGGGTGTCTCCCTCCCCATTTGCACCCTTGGGGGGGTCTGATCTTCTCACCCCCCCATCTTGGCTGCAATTTCTGGCAACCCTGAAAGAGGAAAAGCAGACCTCTCTCTTCTGCTCCACTGCCTCATGAAGATGGTATTTGGGGTGTGGGTGTGCCTGAGGTTTGCTCATTTTGGGGAGGATCCAGAGAACAAGGAGGACCCCCGGCTCTCCCCTCCCCCCCACTTCCATGTAGAAGAGAGGCAGCCATCTTGAAAGAGCTTTGATCCCCCTTTTTCCTCCATTAACTCTCGACCACCTACTTCGAGGGAGGAAAACCCACATATTCTGGAACTTCTGCTTGGAAAAGGGGCTCCACCTTGCCCAAGACGAGAAGGGCAGAGGATTTGGGGGAAAGTGGGGAGGAGATCCGCTTTGCCCCAAAGCAAAAGGGCTTCAGTGCTGTGGCCTGAATTCAGGTCATTCCTCTGCCCAAGATGGCTGCCGGCTGATCCCAGCATAAAGTGACCCTGTGTCATGAGTTCAGCTGAAGAAGATCTGCGATCTGAGGGGTTAATTACAGCTGAGGGAAATGCTGGGCAATTAGTGTCACAGACAGCTGAATCACCACCAGATTCTCCTACCCCACTAGCCAGAGTGAGGGACAAGCTTCAGCAGAGACTCACAACACAAATATCTGAGGCTCGCATGAATGTTTCGCACAGCCCTGAATTTTAACAGGTCGACCAGCCCTGAATTTTAACAAGATGGAATGTTTCTAGGAGTTTGATTTTTGTTGCTACGATATAATTTGTACCTAGATGCTTGGGAGCCTGTGGAAGCAACAAGTCAATTCTCTCGTCCACGCTCCTGCTTATCTTGAACCTTGATCTCTTGACCCTTGGCTTTTGGATTCTGACTTCTGATTATGGTCTGTGTTTTGACTTTGACAATTTGGCATCTATTTTGTATCTCCTGGACTTCTGACTTTGGACTTAATGGACTTTCGCCTGCTGCATCTCCTGGAAATGCGACACCCTTAAAGGCACCGATCACCCGAATTACCCCCATAGTCCTGACAACATGAGAGGGACACAGACACACAACACGCCAGCAATTTGAATATAGGTTCAAAGGGTGATTGTGAAGAAAAAGTGAAATGTCATAGAAAACCTCCCCGTATGATGGTGTTTCCCAAAGTGTGTGCCATGGTGCTATGGGGTGGAAGTCCACTTGGGGTCACAACGGCATCCTCTGGTCCCTCCCTCTCCCTACTCCCCCAAAGTGTCCTAAAACAGAATTTGCTTGCACATTCTCTGTTGTCTGTGCACGGTGGAGAGGGGTCCCCAGGTCCCAGGACTGGGTGGTCCTGCCTTCCTGTTCGCAAGGGAGTCTTTTCTGCCAACCCCCAGCCCTGCAAAAAGGGCAGCTTCTCTGGATTTTCCCCTCCAGCGGCTGCTTCTCTGGGAGAAGTCAGGCTACAATACAAGGCTGGGTCTTAAGCTATCTGTCAATAGCACAGCCTCTGGTACCATCTAGTGACCAGTCCTGGTAATACAACCTGGAAAGGAGTATTCGTGTGCTTTAATACACACACACACACACACACACACACACACACAGAGAGAGAGAGAGAGAGAGAGAGAGAGAGAGAAACTATGTCACATATATTTTCCTTTTGCAATCCTTCCATACAATGAACGGCCCTACAGGGGCTCTCCCACAGAACTCAATTAAGGCTGCTCTTAATTGGAGCGTGAGGCTGACTGATCTCACTGGAACTAGCAGGTAAAAAGTGAGATCAGATGTATTTTCCATCTTGACCAGGACTCCAGTTGAGATGAGAAACTGGGAGGAGAGGGTTGACCCTTTGCGAATTTCTGAACCACCCATCTCTGTCGTTTATTCTAAAGATTCCTATTACTGTAATTCTAAAGATCCATCCCAATCCAATACAAAGGGAAAAAATGGCTGAAACCCTGTCGCTCAATGTAGCAACTCACAACTAGAGTAGATCCACTGAATTAGTTGGGATTTGGAGAGTCCATTCCTCTGTAAATTCCAATGATCCAAAGGGAACTACTCCAGTAGCAACTTACTATGTCAAGCAACAAGATTCACTAGCAACTTACTATGTCAAGCAACAAGATTTCAGCCACCGATTAGACACAAAATAAGAAAATGAACACCAACACAAACATCTAGAGCAGGGGTCTCAAACTCAATTTACCTGGGGGCCGCTGGAGGCAAAGTCTGGGTGAGGCTGGGCCGCATCAGATTTTCCGCCAAGCGGAGCAAGAGCCCAAGGAAGCCGCCCAGGAGTTTCCTTAGTCTGGGGCTCGGAGGAGGAGGAAGAGGGGAGTGGAGCCCTCGTAGCCGGCCACAACCCCCTCTGGCTCCTTGTTCACTACCAGCACCACCAGTAGCAGCAGGACAAAGAAGCGGAGAAGGGAGGGAGCACCGGTGACCGCCTAGCCGGGGGGGGAGAAGGAGGGCACAAGATAAAATTTAAAAAAAAAGACTCACATGATTTGCCTTGCCAAAGGAGAAACCCCCCCACCGGTACCCATGAAATGAAACAGAACGGGGGCGGGGGCCCCCACTGGTGCGCACACAAGCACACACAAACAAGCACACACAAACAAGGGCCCCCCTCCAAAAAAAGGTGCACTCAGCAGCAGCAGCTACCCCCACCATGACAGGAGAGCAAACTTTGCGAGGCGAGCCCAGGCAGCCTCCAGAGCTGAGGCGGCTGAAGCAGGAGGAAGAGGAGGAGGAGGAGGAGGAAGCACCGCCAGGCGCTGAGGCAGCCACTGGCCGGGCTGGTGCTGGGGGTGCCGAGAAAGAGAGCCAGAGAGCCCCTTCCCTGGAAGAGGTGGCGGCGGCAGCTGCTGTTGGCGGCTTGGAGGGTGTAAGAGGTGCTGTCTTGAGGGAGAGCCGGCGAGGCAAGGCTTTTTTGACTCTTTACAGCAGGGGATGCATGGGCGCTTCAGGGGGCAGGCAAGGTGGGGGCCACAAATATCATCTGGCGGGCCACAAATGGCCCCCGGGCCGCATGTTTGAGACCCCTGATCTAGAGAGACGAAACAAGCAAAAGAAAACAACCCTTGGATGTGTCGCTGGTCTTTTTGTCACATCAGTCCCCAAAATAATCAAGGGCAAGGGTCTCCAAGCTGCTGCCCTCCACCTGACGTGGAATACAAAGCCCATCAACCCCAATCAGAACTGGTGGCACAAATGGAAGAAGCGGTTTGGAGGCTGCCTAGTGGATGCTGTCTAGGATTCTAGTGGTGACCAGAAGCGACACCTTTCATCCCTCTCCCCACAAGGGCACTTTTTTCTTTCTTGGACTTTCTCCCTTCTTTCAGCCAGATCTGCACAATATTTCCATCCATGTCTTTCAGACAACTGGAGGGACTGGAATAGGATCAGGGGACCTCCCCTGTCGCCCACCTGTGTGTTTTTCAACATTTGTGTCGCTGAAGAGAGAGGTGTGACAGCTCTGTGAACCCTCCACTGTGGATCAGGACTCTTTTAGCTCCCAGTTTAAGGGAACTCCTCAGGAACAATCAGGGACACTTCTGTGGTGAAAAATACCCACAGTTCAGGGTATTTAACAGATCCTGTGGTGTACCCACAGTTCAGGGTATTTAACAGAGAAACCCCACCATATTAACTTTGCCTTGCCGACCCTCTCGATGACCCTTCCATGGGTGTCCACACACATCCAACTTCCCTTCCCTTCCTGACTGAGGCTCGAACTGGACGGCCACAACACATTCCCCACAGCTTCCATGGGCCTAATCCGAGGAATAGTTTGTGGGGTGAGGAGAGAGTCTTGATTGGGCTGAAAACCCTGTTTCCTTCTCTGCAACAGCCACCTCTCCTCACTTTCCTTCCCTGGAAGGGACAAAAACAAATGTAGGGGTTGGGCCAAATCCTGCCGTCTCTTCCGCCCTCCATTCACCTCCGCTGTGGTTGTAGCGATGCTTCAGGATGGCCAGGTTCTCTCTGAACACCTGCTCGTTAACCTGTTCTATCTGGGTGTTCCTCTCCCAATATTCCGGATCCTCTTCCTCCATCATCTTCTCCATCCAGGGCGCTCGAGGCTGCACTCTCCGGGTGATGCTGTCATAATGGCTGAAGAGCTGGCCGTCCACGTATCCCACTGCGATGTATTTGGTAAAGCCCTGATTGGGTTCAGACATAGCAGTGGAGAAATAGTGCACGGAGTGGGAGGAGGAGCCTGGAAAGGGACGGAGAGAGGGGACAGAATTAGGAGGGCCTGCAGATGAGGCGGGGAAACCCTGAACCCCCCACTCCTTTAGATACACTTTTCAGACAGTTCCCACACTAGACTCCGCCGTCCGCCCAGTGTAACTTTACACCCACCTGATGATGTCACTACTGGAACCACAGCGAGGGCAGTTGTGTGGACGCAGGTTCCTCCAGCACAGCCATGGCCACTCCACCATCTCCGCTCGGCTCCTGGGGAACCATCCCGACTGCAGCCACCTCCGCCTGCTCTTCATCCTCTGTCTTCTGGGTCTGGCTACTGGTTGACATGATCCGTGAACTGCTACACTGCTGCTCAGCAACCCGCACTCCTTGCTGCGTTGTTGGGGTACTGCTTGCTTCTAAAATAGCAATGCGTGAAAGCATGAAGTCACACATTCTCTTAAGCTGTGCCATTTTCTGCGCTTTAGACTCTCTTCTGGACCTCCTCACAGCTGTCCCACCATCAGCAACAGCCTTCTGCATGTGCTCCCTCTCAAACATACCAAGCTTCCCCCCGGTTTGTTCTATAATCAGGCCAATCGTCTTCGTCTGATGATGAAATGACTGGAGGTGAATGTGGTGGGAGGGGAGCTCTGCACTTAGCAGGCTGTTTCCCCTTTTCCCTCTTCTATCACCCTTAGGACCCATTATAACCTTTATCAAAATAACCCATCTCACCAGTTAACAATCCTATCCACTATTAATAGCACTAACCACAGAGCAAAACAGTCTTACCTAAGGGAGTCCCAACATGGCTGGGATAGGTGGGCAAGGCACGTCTCCCGGCAGCAGGGGCCGGGTAGGTGGGTCCGGATGGCGTCCAGTGCTTCACCTGGAAGCCATCTGGACACCCCCTACCCTGCCCCCGCCGCCGCTGAGAGCCTTCCGAGCTCTCAAAGGGCTTTCTCCAATGTCGGGGGGAAAGCCCTTGAGAGCTCGGAAGGCAAATGTTGGGGCGGTCGGCGGTGGCTTCGGGGTCCTTCCAAAGCCACTGCCGAAAGACTGCAGACATTTTCTCCCAGCTGAGCGGCGGGCCTTTGAAGCTCCCGCTGCTCAGCTGGGGAAAATGCCAAAGGCCCCATTTTCGGTCAGCTGGTCGGCGGTTCCAAAATGGCCGACCGGCTGTGCTGCCTCGCTTTAGAGGCACCCAAAATGGCCGCCCCTATGGAGGAACATCGCTGAACGGTGAGTTTATCCTCCATAGGAACACATTAAACAAAGTTTAATGTGTTCCTATGGCTTTTTCCGTTCCGTTCAGCGATGTTTTCGCATAGCAACGATTAATCCGGAACGGATTAACGTCGCTATGCGAGGCACCACTGTATCTAGAATTCACCCGTTTTTTTGTAATAAAAGCTGTTTTTATTGAAAAGCCATGAAGATGGTGTTCCTGTAAGCCTCCTTAGTACATCTTCTCTATCTGACAGAAAGCTATTTTTTTAAAGTCAGTAGAAAGCATGCCTCTGAACATGTGCAGAGTACACAATAGACTTCCTCACAAGGGCCCCTTGTTTACTGGACTCTT